GTGCAGCAGGAAATATTTCACTTTTGAGAACAGGGAAAATAGGTTTTATTTGCATTACACTTATTAATTTGTGCAGTTATTCAGTGTCTGGTAAATTAATGTTCAAGAAAAAATATTGATTTTTATTAAAATGTTCTATTATTTTATGTTCATGATTACTCATTTATTCCAGCCCTTTGTATTCAGCATGTCTCTATCGAAATAAACCTATGTTTCTCTGAAAATTGAAGCTTTTGTTTTTTTGCAGCCCACATAAACTTAAACCTCGTTTATTTGGCCTGTGTGGCTGTTCTATTATTTTATGTTAATGATGACTCATTTATTTCAGCCCTTTGTATTCAGCATGTCTCTATCAAAATAAACTTACATTTCTATGACAATTGAAGCTTTTGGTTTTTTTGTGCCTGCAGAAACTTCAACCTTGTTTATTTGGCCCGTGTTGGAGTTTGAATTTGACATGCTTGGCTTAGCCATTCAGGAAGAGGTGGTGGCAGCCATGCCCTGACTTCCTGATGGAGGTCCCGGTCCTGGTTACACACTTGCGTGCGCGCATTCGTTTTTTTGTGCCTGCAGAAACTTCAACCTTGTTTATTTGGCCCGTGTTGGAGTTTGAATTTGACATGCTTGGCTTAGCCATTCAGGAAGAGGTGGTGGCAGCCATGCCCTGACTTCCTGATGGAGGTCCCGGTCCTGGTTACACACTTGCGTGCGCGCATTCAAACACACCCCCTGGCGGAGGCCACCGGCACAGACATCTCAGTTCTGGGAAAGAGCTCACGGCTCTGGGTCAAGGCCAGATGCGTGGCAACCGAGGAGTCAGAGCGGGGAGAGACAGGGATCCCCTCAAGATTCAGGTTCCCCACCAAGAGACTCAGGTTGGCCCAGCTTGTGTCCTCCAAACCCCTCCCTGTGGTGGGTCCTGGGCAGAGCCCTGGGGTGGGCAGCCCCGGAGCCACGTGGGGAGGGGCAGCTCCCCGAACAGAGTGGGGTCTGTTACCGAGAAAAGGGCGGGAATCCGGGCAAACAATAAATGCCTCCTCCATCCACTGCAGGCTGCCCAGCCCACAGACAGCCTTCCTTCCCCACGAAGTAGCTCAAATGACAGCTGGGCGGCACCAGAATTGTAACTTCCCATTTCCTCTGATTATCTAGCCCCGTCTTGTTTAGTGAGGGCGGCAGTGAGGCTCGGCCTGTAGGGTCTTCTCCACCCGCTCTCCTGACCAGGCCCGGATGGAGTGGAGGGAGAGGGAGGGGCCTGGACGGTCTTCTGTGGCTGCTGTGACCATGTCCCTTGTTCTCCCTCACCCTCTGGTCCTGAAGTTGCGGCTCTGTCTCAGTGGGTCCCTCCCTTCAGCTGGAGAAAAGCCTCATGGACCCGCTTTCCACGTTCAAAGACCCACTCCCTGTCGGTGTTGCCCTCACACGCACCGCACTGTCCTCTGTACGACCAACGTGCGTGCCTGGCCCACCTCTCCCCAGTCGCTGCCCAGGGCTGTCCAGGATGTCTTTGTGAGGTCACCCCCTTTTAGCTTGGTCACGACCACATCTCAGGATTCTGTAACTTAGAGGCTGAATTGTAAAGTTAGCCGCCACCAAGAAAGAAGAGAGTTATAAGATACATAAGTACAGGGTGTCCCTAAAAGTGTGTACACACGTTAACAGCTGATAACTCACTCCATTTTCACTCCTTTTCAGGTTTAACTGATTTGAAATGATAGGTGAAGCCAGACTAAGCTTTGAACAGAGAACATTTATCCACCAGCCCTTTTTATGGGGATACAGAACAGATAAAGTTCACACTACAAACTGGCAACAGCTGAGGGCTCACAAACACGGAATGAAACGATTCTTGATGTTTGCGATTCCATATCCTCGTGTTATCAGCAGGGCCTGGACCAGGATGGTCATCAGTTTGAAAACAGGATTTGACAAAGAAAATTATTCATTTCTGTAGATTCTTTTAAATTTTGAAAGTGAACTGTATGTGAATAAACACTGGCTTTATACTCATTCAAAGTGTGTAAACATTTTGGGGGCCCCCCTCCACAGGCATGAAACAGCAAGAAGGAAAGCCGGGTGATGAGTCCCTTCTGCAGATGCTACTGCCTGCGGGTAGTTCTTAGACTTTCACCCCCCACCCCCACCCCACGTGCCTGCTCTCTGCTGACCAGGGTCCGTATGACCCAGACCTTCGATTCCTGAGGCAGCTGGGCTCTTGGTGGGCCTGCCCTGTGTTGGGTGACAAAGTCCTCATTAACGTTTTTTCCATTAACTTTTACACTGGACTTGACAGTAACAGGAGGCAGGCCAGGGGTTATGAGTTCAACACACACTCCTCTCCCTCGTGTGCAGCACCCTTCTCCTCTGGGCACCCTACCAATGTTAGTCCCTGCCCCCCCTTTAAAAATTAAAGTATAATTGACACAGTAAAAGTCACCCTTTGTAGTTACAGTTCTATGAGTTTTAACAAATGCAGACACCATGTAACTACCACCACATCCAATAGAGAGAGCACTTCCATACCCCAAACACTCCCTGGTGCTGCCCCTTGGTAGCCAACCCTGCCACCAGGTCCTGGCACCTACCAACCTGTTTTATTTCCCTCCAGGTCTGCCCTTCCCGTAATGTGATATGCTGAACGCACACATGCTGTTGGGGGCCTGGCTCCTTTTACTGAGCACAGGTGTCAGATCTGCGCCCGCTGTCCCAGGGTCCGTAGATCCTTACGTTACGTTGCTGGACCCGTGGTCACAGTGGCACCGCAGCATGCCTGTCCCTCCCCCTGAGGGACATTTGGGCTATTTCTGAAAAGTTTGGGACAGTTATGAGCAAAGATGCTACACATTCATGCACAGGTCTTCGTGTGAACACACGTTTTCACTTCTCTGGGACGAATACCCACGAAGGAGATGGCCCAGTCTCGTGGCAAACGTTGGCTTCAGTTTCTAAGAGATGTCAACCCGCTTTCCAAAGTGGCTGACCCAGCGTGGGTCCCCACCAGCAGGACTCGGCATCGCCAGGCGATTTGTTTAACTCTGCCTTTCTGCTGGGCGTGCAGTGCCAGGTCACCGTGGTTCCATGTGCATTTCCTGCCAACGGATGATGGCCAGCATTTCCTCATGTGTTAAGTGCCACCCAAACATCTTCCCTGCGGAAGTGTTTGTCAGAGTCTTTGCCAGCCAGTCTCTAATTGGCTTGTTTTCTGATGATTGAGTTTTGAGAGAAACAGATGCCGCCCCAGGGGCTCAAGGTTTGCTGAGGTCGTTGGGAGTCAGAGCAACTGCTGCGTCTGCCTGGGGGCAGATCTGTTCACTGTCTCCATCTGCCCCATGGACACCTTGCTAGGAGCCTGAGCCAGTGTGGTGGGGTGAACTTTAACCAGAAACTGCCAAAACACCCCCAAAGGGGAAATGATTTCACAATTACTACACAAGCATTAAAATGCTGCTTTTGAAAAAATGGTAATATGAGAAAATATTAGTGGTGTAATGCAAAGTGAAAAAATTGGATACTAAATTGTACATACATTATCATCCAATGTAATGCAATATGTGCAGAAGGAGGGAAATACACCGAAATGTTAACAGAGGTAATGATAATAATATACAAATAGGAATAAAGACATTTTTGAGCACTTTGTATGTGAGGCCCTTGGCTAAGCAGTTTACACATATTATTTACCTGACATTTATATGACAGGAACTATTATCACCCCACTTTCTATATGACGAAACTGAGGCTCACGGATGGTCCCTGAGCTAAGTGCTGATTCAAATCCAGGCTGTCTAAAAGCCAAAAGTCCAATTAAAAAAAATCCTCATGTGAGAATGTTTGCATTGATTTTTAAAAATATTTTTTATTGATTTGAGAGAGAAAGAACACACAACTCAGGAATGTATGTGCCCTGATGGAGAATCAAACCTACCACACTTTGGGGTACTGACAATGCTCCAATCACTGATCCAAACCAGCACGGACCAAAGCCCATCTTTTTTTTTTTATAATATATTTTTATTGATTTCAGAGAAGAAGGGAGAGAGAGATAGAAGCATCAGTGATGACAGAGAATCATGGATCAGCTGCCTCCTGCACATCCCTTACTGGGGATCAAGCCCACAACCCAGGCATGTGCCCTTGACCAGAATTGCACCCGGGTCCCTTCAGTCCACAGCAATGCTCTATCCACTGAGCCAAACCAGCTAGGGCTAAAAAAAAAAAGAAATGTTTTTATTGATTTCAGAGAGGGGAAGGAAGTGGGAGAGAGAGAGGGGAACATCAATGAGAGCCCAGCCTGTGTACTCAGTGGTTGAGCACCCATCCATGAACCAAGAGGTCACCGGTTCGATTCCCCATTGTGGGCTCGTGCAGGAGGCAGCCGATAGATGATGTTTCTCTCTCATCGATGTTTTTTTAAACATGATACATAATGTATTCATAAATAATTACAAAATATATTATTTATAAATAACATGTAAATACCATGCATATATGTAAATATCTCACTGTTTTTGAGGGCAGGGGCCCGCCCTTTTTATTTCTGTGGTTCTTGCTCGGGGAAGATACCCTCCAACAGAGGGCTTAGTAACTGCTGGTGGAGCCACGGGAACTAGAAACCGGTGACCGAAGATCACATCAGAGCAGGCTCTGCTGGCCTCGGGGAGTGCAGGGTCGGGGAGGCG